TGTGTGTGTGTGTGTGTGTGAGCGGGCAGTTGTGGTGGGTTTTTTTTCTGTACAAAAAGAAGAAAATACAAAGACAAAAAAAACCCTACAACTATCCCCTGCGGGACGCCAACATCATAGAAAAAAATAACATTCATAGTAGGAAAAAAAATTAGGTCCTTTGAGCCCAGCTCAGCTGGAAAGTGATTTGAGTCTATAAGCAGATGTTGTTGTAGCCGAGTTCTTTCACTTTAGTCAGAAAGCTCCTATCTCCATGCCCCAGGGTCTGTAGGGTTTGCCCACGCCGGGGGTCTGGGTTGGGGGGCTGAGGCCGGCGGCGGGCGAGATGATGGGGAAGGCGCCGAAGGCGAAGGGGAACGCCGAGAGGGAGGAGAGGAGGGGGGGGGGAGAGCTTGGACGCCGACGAGGGAACCAGGGCCGGGTGCAGGACGGCGGCGGGGCCGGCGGAGGAGGGGGGAACCCGGATGGGACCCTGGTCCGAGTGGGGGGTGGCGCTGCGGCTGCGCCTCCCCGGGGCGTGAGTCTCTGCCCCCAGGGAGGCCGACGAGGACGAACTGGAGGAGGAGGAGGAAGAGGAAGAGGAGGCCGAGGCGGACGACAGGGGGGTCTGCGGGCTGCTGGTGGCGCTGCGGGGCAGGGCCCCCAGAGGGGCCCCCTGCTGGTGCTGGTGCTGGAGGAGGAGGGGGTGGGCCAGGTGGGCCGGAGGGGATCCGAAAGCGGAGCCCCAGGCCAGGTGGCTGAGGCCCGAGTGGGCCTCCCTCTGGCCGGCGTAGTTGTTGAGGTGGGAGACCAGACGCATGCGCAGGGGGTCGGTGCTGTCCAGGCCCTCGATGATGCTCAGGTAACGGGCCGTCTCGGCCAGACACTCCCTGAAACCCAAACCGCGGTAGTCCATTGCCAGGGCGTGCGCGTCGAAGTAACCTGAGAGGACAGGAAATGACGTTAGATTCATTTACCTACACAGAACAGACAAGTTTTAATACCACGCTGGTCAGGCTACGGTCAGTGCGTATTTTTCCCGTAATGGTTTCGTGAACCTACCTTTGCCCCCAGCAGCGTGAAGCATCTTCAGATGATCCACAGTCATCTGCAGAATCTCTGCTTTCTCCAGTTTGGCAGAGCCCTAAATCGAGTCAGAACAATAAATCCTTCGTTATGTCCAGCTTGAGAAAAAAAACAAAAAACTGTTTTTCTTGAAATGTTTGCGTAACCCGTGTTCCGTGGGTTGGTGCGTCTTTGCTCACCTGCTTCTCAAAGGCGCTGGGAACCAGCCGGCGGAGCTCACTGAGGCTGTTGTTGATTCTGTCACGGCGCCTTTTCTCAATAATCTGAGGGGAAAAAAAACAAGAAAGTTACGATCAGACCGCATACTGTCAACTTTTACGCACGACGTTCGCAAATGCGCAAAAGGATCATCTATATGTAAATATACATGCGTATATGTATGTGTTAATTCAGAAAAATGAAGAAAAAAAATATTAATTACTTACTCCTCGACGCCTTTTCCTCGCCTGCACCTGAGTAGATGTCGTCGGAGACATGGAACCGAGAGAACTCACGTTTCTTAAACGAGACGCAACGGAAAGGCTCGGTCAACATTCAACATGCGAAGACATAGTTTGACAGACTTTCTTTTCTTTTAAAGCAGGGAACAGGCTCCGCTTACCCATTCTCATCCGCGCTCTCCTTCTCCACTTCAATAGTTTCATCCAGCTCACTGTCCGAGGAGCTAAAATCGTGATTCCGTTTCATTTTGACGCTTCCAAAGCGGTTCTTCGGTGTCTGAGTTTGCGTCTGCTGGACTCGTGCGTGCCCAGGTTTGCCCGGAGCGTCTCCGTTTGAAGGCGCCCAGCTTTCCCACGGTGTCATTTCAACGCTGCCGTGGGCCAGCGGGGGCGTGCACCCGCACCGCGGCAGCCAATCAGCGCGCAGTCCGAGTCGTGAGTGACGGCGGGTTTCGCCCAAACGCATCCTGGTGCGCTCTGGCCGATCTGAGACAGCAAAAAAAGAGAAGACTTCTCACTCGGTTGCTGTTTGAATGCTGGTCAGCAACTGTCCTGGCCAACAAGTCAAACAAAAACAACCAGAAGAGAGAAAAAAAATAACTACAATAAGATATCATACGATGATTAACAAAGGCAGGCCCAAAGAAAAGTACCCACAAGGCCAACAACCGACACATCTTTATGAAATATCATAAAACAACGACAGAAAAAATGCTTTACATCTGCAAAGACTTTTCAAAGAGACATCGAATGACCACATCTCACACAGTTGTGGTTTGAGGTTGTTCCGAGCGTCTTTGAATCTGGGAGTCTTACTCATTTCTTGGAGGACCGAGGTCCTCTTTGTTTAATTATCAGTTCATGATGGAACTGGAGGTCTGTCTCTGTCTGTTCTCAAAAAACACCAAACCCAACTTGACTGTTCTCACCACAGAGAATAAACTCTTTGAACAAAAATGTTTCTTCAGCCATTAAAATGTGTAAATCGTTTTCTTAAAAAAGAGAAAACGTCTAAATCTTGGTCTGTTGTCATCGGTGGCATCCGTCTAAAGACACGGAATGTTGAACGTTTATTCATCCAGGGTTCTACGCGTGCCCAAAAGGCAAAAAAAGTATAATTAAAGGAGTGAGAGATGGTACTCAAACCTCAAACCTGCGCAGTTTGGAACTAGAACGATCAGCGGCGCGCCAGTGTGTCTTTGGTTATTTGTTTTTTGTTCTTTTTTAGACAAGTGATTCATACCCTGAAATATACAGGATCTTTGGAGAGAGAAAAAAAAAACTTTGACAGAGGTCCAGTGGACTTTTGGTCCGCGGACTGCCCCCCTCCATCCTCCCTCCTCCTCCTCCTCCCCCCCCTTGTGCGTCCCCGGTGGTGACGAGGAGTGGCTGGCCGGCTGTCAGCACGCGCTGGCCGTGGGAAAGTTCCCCAAACCGGCGCTGATAACCAATCAGAGGCCGACGGCCGTCTCCGGCGCTGGAATGAATGGAGCAATTGGTCGGGGCGACGGGCGGTCTGCGAGCGAGCGTGTGAACCTGTAATCCAATACTAACTCAGCCCGGGGAGGGAGAGACTGGAGGCAGCCCTGCCGCAACCAGAGGAAGCCACCAAGTCTAATCTTACCCCACAGAGAGACCTCATGCACGGTCAAAAAAAGAGAGTCCGTGGCCACTTCAAGGACTTTTTTTGCGCAAAGCAAGCCAAGAAAAGTCCACAATCCCCACACAGTCCGGGCTGGTGGCCCCCCAAAACGGCCACGCTGCCCCAAAAAAACATTTTAGGAAGTATTTGCATACATGTGTACAGACAGTCAAGTTGATGCATCCGGAGCTATATGGGGATCTACAGACACAGACAGTTTTAAATAGCAGTGGGGCCATTTTTAAAAAAGAGCGCATGGTGGGGTGATTAGATCAAATGGGCTGGTGCACTGAAATCTTTCATATACAGTATCAACCTCCAATTATCACGTAGGCTGCAGGGCTGGGGAATTCATTTAGCTGATAAAGGATGATAATTTAAGCTGTATTTTTTCTTGCTTTTCATCATGCAGCATCTTCATTGCAGCTGCTAAAGGCTATTTCTATGCTGATTCAGCTATCAACAGAGAGTAAATCTGGGTTAATCCTCTTTCCAAGCAAAGGAGACTTTTTTATTGGGAACTTTTTGGGCAATACATACAAAATACATATAACCATACATATAAAAATCTATAAATGAATTAAAACTGTTCAGAAAAGCACTGGAACTGTAAACGCAGGAACCAAAAGGATGACATATCTTTTTTGGTATTGACAATACTATATAACATTACAATATCTTTACACTTAATATACAAATATTTTTTTTGTCTTTATACTCACAATAACAAATTAAATACTCAATGAACTATCTAATACCACCATGTAGTAATTATATGTAAAGCTGTGTATACAAGAAGGAATGCAGTAGGTGGTCATAAAGTCATAAATCATGTTCTGTTGTGATAAAGACAGCTCTTTGAGATAAATAAATATTAAAAAATATATATATGTTGCAAATATCTCAGTACTTTAACAGCAAATACTGCTAACAACCATTTTGCATTGTCTTTATTTTTGTTAAGTTTTCTTGCAGAAACATTGCACATTTGGCAATTGAGTCTTTATTTGGATGAAACTTTTGTTGTTCATATGAAAATGTACAGTTCATTTTAAAAACTCACTCACTTTGCAACCCGGGCTTTCCCCAGCTGCCTGCAAAGCACACGAGAAGAGAAACTATGTTTCGAGAATGTCCGCGAGGTTTGTGTCCAGCGCCAGGCAACGGCCATTAAAGGCTGCGAATGAGGAAAGTAAATGTGTGCCGAGCATCTAATAAGGAAGCAGAAACCCTGGCCTTATTATGGGAGCATAATTTGTTCTCGGAGGGACCGAGTTGGTTGTGATTTTAATCTCGTGTTAATAAAAATCAACAGAGAACTTGAATCAAACCCCTTTACACACACACACACACACTCACACATAGATCCACATGCTGTAATATGGTGATCCTTATCAGTTTGGGCCAAAGGCGCAATAGTCATCACAGAGAGAGGAGGCGGCCATGTTTGCTTTATATGAATGAGAGGAAGCACTTAGGGGCTGTTTTCATGTTATTGTTGTCGTACAGGACTGCGTTTAGAGCAGGACGGGCCCACGGATGTTCTCCAACATTCATTGAGCTGATCACCAGTGAGTTATCTGAGTGTGTGTGTGTGTGTGTGTGTGTGATGTATGGGAGAGTGGGAGCTGCCTTCACACACGTCCAAGTCCGTGCAACCCCGAGGTCTTTGTCTCAATAAACACAGGTGTGCGTCCACATTAATTTCAGCCTGTGTGTGTGTGTGTGTGTGTGTGTGTGTGTGTGTAACTTGCAGGAGTGGGAGGAGGAGGATGAGGAGGGAGGGGGTGGGGGGGGCGGGTGTGAGCCCTCTTGTTGTATTTCAAGTTCACCCAGAGTTCCCACGCTGTTATTTTCTGCCCGGCTGTCTTTGTTCTTCTGGTCTCATCACATGTTGTGATTAGTAGGCCCTTTCAGGGGCCGGCCTTTGAAGGTGAGGGCCAGCAGCAGCACATCAACAAATCCCCCCACCCGTCCCACCCCCCCCACCCCTGCGATTCAGGCCACCAAATCGAATCAAACTCACTGCCAAAACTCAGTGACACCTCACCTCCTTTGCTCCCTATGTATTCATCTCTCTTTTACTTTCATGTCTGATTTATGGGGTTTGACGTCCTTTCCACTGTCTTGTTTTCTTGAAACATGTACTCATCCTTTCTCTCAGTTATTTATTTGAATGGAGGATTGAACGTAAAGGTATTTTAGTGTCTTCAAACTTTCTCATTGAATCCTCCCAGAAACAGATCACTCATACACAGGGAAACAAAAACAAAAGAAACTCTTCAAATGGACGGCATTAGAACATTCATTTAGAAATCAAATGTTGAAGTTTTCTCCTGAGTCTCCTTGTGCTTTACACAAAAATGAATATGGAATTTTAGATTGCCTTTCTGCAGAGATTACATCTGAAGAAGAGTCCGGACTGTCTGACCGGTGGTGTTTTAAAGTGGGTATTTCTCCAGTACGTTTACCTTGGCGCTGTGCTTATTTTTTTGCATCAAGACCTATTACTTCAGCTGAACGTATTTACACAGTGGCCCTACATGTCATCATGTGTTTAGTTGTATGGGTTTGTTTGGATGTGATTTCCTGCAAAGAGCTTCGGGGGGGATAAACGGAGCCGGGTTGCCGTGCCGACAGAGTGACTTTGATGAATGATGTTGATGTCCCACTCAGGAACTCACAGTCAGCTAAGTCATGCAAAACTGTCAACCTCTCGAATTCTAGATGTTTCCCGCTTTCCTTCTGACGCTGAGCCATCAACACAAATGACATATCTTGCTTAAACCTCAGTTATCAGCCTTAGCTTTGTTTATTTTTTGTAGAAATCTTTTTTAAAACTGTGAAAAACCATATACTACTTAATCCTGTATGGCGTGATCATGCAATTCTAGCACAAACCAAATGATCCAATGTCAGGTTATGCAATATAAACACACATTTGCATTGAACACTGAATGAAACCAGTTGAAGTATTGTTTGAATGTGCTCACCGACGCCTTTTCTTTGGTCTAATGAATCAGTTCCTGATTCCTTCAGCTGGTGACTGATAAAGGATTAAATAACAAAAGCTGCCGGGTATTTTTAAGGATTCTAATCTGCTTCTTCCCTTTACATCACTCCTGCATTTAGAAAAGGATTAACCGTGTAAGGAGAAAAGGAAAGATGCCCTTTTTGGGGAGAACACACGGGATTTTCGGTTGATGACATGTTTGCCGTAACATACTTGAAATTACACAGAGTTGGAAAATACTGAAACTGGAAGGTGTCAAAACGATATGCTTTGTTTTTGTACGGGCATGGTTTCCGTTTATTTTGCTACATTGTATAAAAGTCCAGATAAAACTGAGCAGCCATAACAATATGACCACCTGCTTATTATGAAAGGCTGAATAATCGAGGCGTAAACACATAGGAGCGTCCTTGAGTGTCTGGGACTAGTTTATTGGTACCAAACACTCTTTTGGGCCATGTGGATTGTAGAGTGGGATTTTCTTGCTTTTTTTTTTTTTTTGCTTTTCTTGGTTAGAGGCCACAAGATCCTATCAGACTGGTATGATGGCATTTTACGGATGAGTTTAGGAGCCAGGTAAACACTGCAGACTCAGGGAATCAGAATCAGAGATACTTTAAAAATCCCCGAGGGAAATAATTTTTTTTTACTAATTCCAGAGAAACAACAAGCTGCTCCAGCGGGGAAGTGATCAAAACTTGTGTAGTGTGTGACTCATCTCTAAAATGTGAAATGCATGTCTTTTCAGAAGGATTTAACAGATTAGTAGGCTTTGACACAACTTGTCAGTCTTTTAAATAAATTGATTTAG